GGTGGGGTGGGGTGGGGGTTGAGAGAAAGTGACATTATTTTCCATGCCTCCAAAGGTCCAGGAGAGGTCCACCCAAGCCGAGGGATAAACAGGATATGCACTTCCGTGAGGACAAACATAGAAACTTATTTCCCTACATCAGTAGATGAGTTCTGTAGCCTAGATTTTGGGAGGTTTGCTGGCAAAACAGATTGAAAAGCATCCTCACAGATCAGAATAGAAATACATGCTTTTTTTTTACATGACTCTTGGCAAAAGCATAAATCTAGGTAGTATCTATAGCAGTTTACAGTACAATAGGACTACTTCAGTAGGAGTTTAGCTCAAAGCAAGTCATAACATTATTTCCACTTCCTCTTTGGTCACTATGTAATTCCCAAGTGTTAATGAAATAAAAACAGCATAGCAATGCCCACTGTGTAGAAAGGACAGTCAGAGTGAGCAGGGCCCAGGCAAGGGACAGAGAAAGCAGCTGCAAGGCCATAGTGAAACACCCATTTGCTGGAGCAAGTCACCTGGGGAAGCAACGCAATGAGCTGAGGGCTTCCTTCTTGTTAAAAAGAGAAACAGGGATCACAGGAGTAATAACAGCTGAGGTGCAGTAGAAAGACTGCAGAGAAATGTGTCTCGTTTGTGAAGATGAGCTCAGATACCCTTGCTGGAGTTTCTGGTCATCCCATAACATTTTTTCCCACATAGGAAGAGGATGTTGCTGAGCAACTTGGAGGAAAAGCCAGGTAAAAGGATAACAATGAAAGCATTACATAAACAAATTTGGGCTGGTGCATAAATCATTCTTAAAATACGTGTGAAGCAACACTGATGAAAGCATGTGAGCAGGCAGAATATGTGAATATAATATAATGAGAATATAATCATTCAGATGATTGTAATGGATATGTCTTGCGAGCCCTAGAATTCACCCTCACTCCATTTCACAACAGAGCTTCAAACAAGCCTGGATGCCCTCATGCTTCCCCCCCTCTGGCAGCCAGCCTCTTTGTGATCTTAATCTCAGTGAAATTAACACTGTCACAGCAGAGGCAGGACACCTGTCATCAGACAGACATTGCAGAAGTACCCCAAGATCCATCCACCAGCCCTTCCTCTTGAACAGAGGGGTTCTTGCTCCTCCCAAATCCCTTGTGGGTCTCTTACCGTGACAGTGGGGACAGCAGTAACAAGAGAGTAGACCAGGACTGGAGGTGCTCGGCTACTGTCCTCTGGCCCAGGATAGGGTTTGGTCAAAGTATTGTCATAGCAGAAGAATCCTTGAAAGTGCACCGGAAAAGTGTCTGAGTACTCAAAGTGGTAGGCTAGCACCACTGTGCCAGCCATGATCCCCAGCTGGAAACAGAACATGATGGCACATCAGGCATCACTTACAGAATGGGAGACCAAGACAAGAATACCCATCAGATCCCTGGAATCACAGATGGTTGCCACTTGCCTGTTACTGCATGCAAACTTCCTTGTGTCCTCCTTTTCTCACTCAGTTGCCAGGTTGAGGAATGAGAGAGAAACCCAGCCTTCCGAGCCAAAATAAGGCAGTCAGTTATTGTCCCTCCATTCCTGGCTTCCACTTCTCCCAGACAGTCCCCTTCTTTGCAGTTCATAGCTCATAAATGCTCCCAGGGCAGATGATGGCAGCTCTCAGGGGCTGTGCCCAGAGGAAGTGAGCTGAATGTAAGCTTCAGTCTGACAGGGGAGAAGTTTCAGATACATGCCTGTTTTCTTCTCTCCAGCCACTTTACAGGAAGCATCTGAATGCTCTTCACGGGATGAAAATAAATCTATTACATGTCCCCTGTCAATCTATAAATAATTCCCACCTGTCCCATTTCCTCATTTTTAAAACTATGGTATGAAAATATCTAAAAATCCATATATGTGGATGCATATGTGGCTTGCTGACAATGAACATTTGGGGACATTTCTAGGTTTGCTGAAAACTTACACAGAGAATTCAGAAAAGAGTTCTATTTCAGGTGGATGTATTCAGATTTGCACCCTTGTCTGTAAGTAGATATAGGCCTGGATTACCTAGAAAAGTAGATCTAATTAAATCCTTGAATATCCCTATATATTACAGAGCTGAAGTGTTCTAGGCCATTAAAGGAATGGAAGGATACACTGGTAGAGCTGCGAGCTACGGACTGCAAAAATTCAGATGATAATTAGATGGCAGGAAGGAGTTAGGGATCTGCCATCTAATGGTCATCCAGATTTTTGTAATCCGAATCTGTTAGTGCTAGTCCTTCTGCTCACAATGACTCTGTATATGGAATAGGGAGTATTGAAGCCTAGTCGTCTACCACGAAATGCAGGGCTGGACCACCTACAGAGATCCACTCAAGCAATGCTGTGAACTACCCAAGCAGGTTCTCTTCTAATATACAGTAGCAGATGCTTTAGACAACTTTGCTTCAGGTTCTTCTGAGCAGCTTCCAGGAACCCTGGCAAAATGCCTTTTGGTTCCAAGGTCTTGAAAGGACAATCAGTGCAGAATGCAAACTCTACAGTCCACTACTACCCTTATAACTGGCTACAGCTTTTGAGTGTGGACAACTCCTTCCTAGTACTGGGAGGAAGGCAGTGTGTATGTGTGTGTCTGTGTGTGTGCATTTGTGTGTGTGATGACTGGGCACCTGTTGGCCAAAATTCCTGGTTCTCTTACCTCCACAAACACAAAGCAAGGGATAATGGTAATGCTTCTCTTAAGCTCCTGCTTTCCACCAGCCATAGCAACTAGGCCTGGGCACTTCTGCAAGGAAAAAGGTTATCTGTAAGGAAAACAAACAAACAGCCCCCGAAGCAACTCTGCTATGTGCATCCCAGGAGAAAACCCCCAGAAAAGGCTGTGCTCCATTCTAGGCAAGCTCTTTCCCAAGTTTCCAAACATAACCACCTCATAACATTGTGTTTTAAGGCAGGGGTGCTCAAACTGAGTTGTATCCTGAGCCCCCTAAAATGATAAGTGTGCTCCCTCGAGAATTAGTTCCTTAGGATTAGGGTTGGGCAGGGAATAAGTATCGCTGCTTATTTTTAATAATTACATTTCAATCTAAATATCAAAAGAGTTCTCAGACTTTGTGGTTATTGCACCTGCCCACTTTAGCCTTTGACAGGATAATTAGGAGCAAAGACCACAGCACATTTTGACAGAGCTGCCATTGGGCCTGCACACGCCTGTTCAGCTTTCAAAAAACTGTGACTCTAAGTTGCTTGCGACATCCCTTTCTCCCCTCCCCCCCCCCACAGGGGTCCTAACCCAAAGTTTGAGAATGGTTGTTCTCAACAGCAACAGCTTTGAAACTCTAAATGGAAACTACCTGACCAAATCATCTCCCTCCTTTAGAATCTGGATACTCCAGTTTAGCAGAGTCAACCTTACCTTGTCAAGTGGCTTTTGTGCAAACTATAGAGATGTTCTAACAACTCAAGGAGGATATGGCATCTAAAAGAGAATAAAATAAAATAATAATGCCCTTTAGTTTAAAAAAAAAAATGACATACAGTACAATAAAATGGAAACATGCAATGAACATTTTAAAACACTCTTTTTGAATAAGCAGAAAACAGACTAGCTATCTTTTTGTCTTTCAAAGCTACCTTCCTGCTTTCAAACTCATATTTCCACTCCTCCCAAAATTATATTCTAGAGACCTTGTGTACACATTCCTGTAAGCACGGCTGAATGCAGGGAGATTTTCTTCTGAGTAGATGTGCTTTTTAAAATGTGACGTACAAAATAAAAACATAAAAAGCAATTGTTTCCAGAATCCAGGCAGCCAACCTCTGATTCTGAGGAGTTAGGGAAGAGGACAAATTAATACAGGGGTTTTAAACTTCTCTCTCGGAAGGTGCTGAAATTTTACTCTGGCTATGAGAGGAGTGTATGGGTGTGTATCCTGGAGTAAGACATTTTTTGCAGGTTAATGGAATCAAAGCAAGATGTCAGCTCAAGAATTTGAGAAGTATTTCACAGGCTCAAAGCAGAGAATAGACATGTTCCAGTCTGTAGAGAGAGCTGGGGAAACTTTTAACCGGTTGAGAATTTGAACTTCTAAGGGAATCTAAGGTTCCAGTATAAGAGGAACTCTTGCTATAGGACTTTTTTTTTAATTTAGATTTTTTATCCCGCCTTTATTATTTTTATAAATAATTCAGATGGTGAACATTCCTAATACTCCCACCTCACATTTTCCCCACAGCAACAACCCCGTGAAGTGAGTTGGGCTGAGAGAGAGGGACCGGCCCAAAGCCACCCAGCCGGCTTTCATGCCTAAGGCAGGACAAGAACTCACCGTCTCCTGCTTTCTAGCCTGGGGCCTTCACCACTAGACCAAACTGGCTCTCCAGTTGGTTTATTCTTTATTCTTATTCATATTCTCATATTATGAATTATGAATTATTATGAATTATGAATGTTCTTATATTCTCTTTTGAATATGTTTAAGTCCTATCTGCAAAAGGGAGTCCAGAGTTTGAGAAAAGTACAGTCACCTCAGACACACTGATTGGCCAAGTCCATCATAACAGAAGGCTGGGCATTGTCCCATCTGGTCACTGCAATGGCCTCCCACTCTTCAGACCAATTTAGTGGGACTGAAATAAATCCACCAGATTCAGTGGTCCTTATTTCTAGGCAAACCCATAAAGGATTGTGTTGCATATTCACTTCAGATTCAGGTCTTGTTAAAAACTACAAGCATTCCTGGGATCACAGAAGTTCCAACTCCTTTTCCCGCCAGCAAGAAAGAGTATGTTTCAATGCAAGTTTCATCATAGTAAGATGTTACAGAATCACTGATCCAACCATGTCAGAGTATTAATTAAAAATAAATCCTTTGAATAGATATTTGCTCATGTTCAAGTAGTAGAAGTAAAAAATTGAATTTTTAAGTCAATTTCTAGAGGCATTACTTGGCTATGCTTTTTTTGTACAAATGTCAGTGCAATGTAATGTAATGTTACTCTATTTTCATATATAATAAGAAAAAATGTGTTTTTGCTCATTTCTGGGCCTGAGAGCTGATAAAAATTACAGTCACATTCCCCCAGTATTTCTCCTAATCTCTGTTCCTTTCTTACTTCTCCTTGCAGCACTTCCCCCTCTGGCCAAAGAGCTGGAAAACTGGAATGCCCTCTTTAGAAGGAAGCATGCAAACTCAACTTCAAACAGCATTAGTGCATGTTAATACTGTATCTTGTATTGCTTTGTGCAATTCATTCTGAGCAGAGAACCAGGAGTCTTGTGTAAATGGTACACGGTTTGGATGAGGACCTGTAGCAGGGAATAGTGAGCACTGTACATAAATGAGTGTGCAATACACATTCCTCGTGCATCCTGTTAGAAATCCAATTCATCCCAACTCTCAGTCCTGATAAATGCACAAGGATTCAAAACTGTCTTCCCACAGTGTAGACGAGGACTCGTCTTACTCCCCTTTCCTCTTTGCATGACCACCGCTTCATCCGGCACAAACTGGACCCCTCCATGACAGAGCCATGCTGCTCATGGGGCTAGTCCAACTTCTCTAGCACTGTAACCAACACTGTAGGAATCCAGCTGCAAGATGCTCTGGCTGCCTGCCCCCTTTGCCGAGTGACCCACATCTCATGGCAACTCACCAGCCCCTGATCCAAGCTGAAGCAAAGTGGTACCCTTTGCTTCCACAGCCAATGGCATCAGTGACCATTTTGCTGCAAATAGCGATCAGCACAGCAAGAGTGTGTGTGTGTGGGGGGGGGGCATGTGTGTGTAGTGAATTCATATATCCAGCATCCTAAGAGCGTAACTTAGCAACACAGCCCTTTAAAACAGACATGTACACTCACGCACAGCACTGCAATTGTCAAAACTGCAACAATGCTACTATGAATAGGCAATGGAGAAGCAGCAATGGAGAACCCATTTGACTCCGAATGAAAATCCGACATGGCAAGCTACCCTCTCTCCCCTCCAGGAAAATCCCCCCACAGCCCAGCCATTGCATCTCTCACCTTCTGTCTGTAGGAGTGGCTTTTTAGGCAGCAGCCATGGCTTCCTCGGCCCACCTCAGCTCTTGTCTCCTCCTTCTCTCCGGTATGCAATTTTAACAGTCTGCCAGACGGAACAGGGAATCCACACTGATCATGCCAATATCTCAATTAGAAGTTGGGCTGCTGGATTAAATGTTGTTTTGCATTAGCAGCTGGAGCCCTTCCAGGGGAATGGGGGAGAGAGAGGGAGTGACATACATACATATGAATGCACAAACGCACACACACTCGTGCGCGCACACACACAAAGGGAGGAGAGAGGGAGAAGGAGAATTTTTCAAGAGGGAACATTTAGTAAGATGCTGGGTCAGAGGAGTGAGAGACACACAATCAAGAAGGTTCAGCTAAAATGAATAAATCAAAGCTTCACTTCCACTTCTCAACAAGCCAGCTTTGTTGTTTCTTGTTTGAATTGAGACTCCCTGTAAAATAAAATAAAAATAGCTGGCCTCCTATTTCTACTAATGACTAGTACTACAGGAAAATGAGGCACTAGCAAACCAAATTTGTTGCCGAACATGCCTCAACAGCAATTGTTGAGCACACACATTGCAAACTCACAGTCAGATTATACAGAAAAACATGAATTACTAGTTACTGAAAATCTAATTCAGACATAATACTAACACCTTGAAATAACAGTTAGAAGAAAGAAATTTGGCTTGCATTTTTCTGCCTGAGAGTCAATTCTATCAGGAAAGATCTTTTATACAATTGCTTCAAAGATCACTGCATAATTTCAAGAACCTGTATTTCCCTCTATTGCATTTACTTCTGCAACAGTAAGAGCAAGAGTTCAGTTGCCTTGTTGCAGAGGGAAACAGAATCATGGTAACAGTACTGTTAATAACACCAACAGCATGTGGCATTTAAGAGCTGTCTTCACATCAGGAGAAAGCAAGCGGTGGTCCCCAAGTCCCCTTTTTGCAGCCCTCAAACCCTTCTGAACTTCCCTCACCATTTTCAGAGGGGAAACCCATGAACACTGCAGCACAAGCCCTAAAACAAACATAACCCAGTGTGAAACCAGGAAAGTCTCATCCACTGCCCACATGAGGGGTGCAATCCTGTTCACTCTGCAGCCTCCCAGTTCCCCCTAAATGTAAAATGTGGCCTTTGTTACCAAAATGGTTGCACGCTTATTTGCTCAGTTTACTTCAGTTACACTGGGAAAAAGCTCTACCACCCTCACAGCCATTTTATCTCATATCTACTCTGTGCAGAAGAAGCAAGCAAACAGAGCGTGGTAACACAATGGCAGCCACGTTCCCTGTGTCCATGGAATGTGATGGTGAAGGCACCAAGGCAGGCAAGGCCAAGACTGAGGGGTGGAAGGGGACAGGGTTTTAACCTTCTCTCCCAAAAACCCTTTGAGCCTTACAGCCCCTGCCTGGCCCCTGTGCCTGCCTTGGCACAGCTGTTTGGTAGCTTTACAGCTGCCACTGCCTATCTTTGTGGGCAGTGGGGAAAAGGAGGAACCAGAAGACACAAAAGAAAAGTGAAGGGTCCACATGGCATAGACCTCAGAATAGATATGCCATTGGGCTTGGTCTTCCCCCTGCCCCCAGACTCAACTTCTAGTCACTGACATTGAATCATGCAGAAGAAACTCAAACCAGGTGGAACAGTTTGGGTGTTATCTGTTTGTCCCAGGTTCACATTCAGATCACATGAGAAAAGGGATACAGCTAAGCCCTGTCTCAGGGCCAATCAGCATTTCAGGCCTGCTCCTCTTCTCTCCAGCCCCTCAGTGCTGTCTCCCTTCTGTTTAGCTTCTTTCCTCTTGAGCCTCCCCTGCTTTGACCAACCAACTGCTTCATCCACCAAGAGTTCAGTTGCATCCACTCCACAGCTTGGGGTCAGCCCCCTCGCAGGCTAGGCCTGGCATCTCAAGACCGCAGGCAGCTGAAGACAGAGGAGGTGAGGGAGGAGGAAGCTGGCCTCTCTTTTCTACTCCTTAGCAACAAAGAAAACACACATGTGATTGAACAGCATCCAGGACAGAACCTCTTAAATGGAAAAGAGAAAAGGCACACACAAAGGGGTACCAATTGCCCCCACCCCTAATTTGCCTGGGGAATTGTTCTGTAGACAGCTGCTGCTGCAGAATCTCTTGGGCTTCACCAAGACTGATATTGGACCTAGAAGTCATGCAGGGAGAGAAGGACACAGCTCTTGATAAGAAAATTTAATTACAGATAGTAGAAAAGCCATTAGTACAAAGAAAACCAGCAACTGTTAGATATATAACCAGTACCTCCAAGGTTCTACCTTTCAGTCTCTTTCTCCTGCCTGTGTAGCCTGTGTGAAGGCCAACTCATTTTTCAACAGAAGAAACAGTTGACCTCTGTTCATTATTATTG